TGTTACCAAAAATTAATATTTCCCCTCATTTGATCAAGAACCGCAGCATATTTAAAATGCATGTCACACCAGCTCACTTTCATCATGTTGTTGATTTCCTGTAGTGTGTCTTGACAGGGTTATGATTTACAGTGTTTACCATTTCTTCTCAGATATTTCATCTGGCCCCACTGAGTATGATTTATTCATATGATATTTCATCAAGACTTTCCAAAATGAGCCTATGTGAAGGAAGTTATTTATGCAGAAAATAACACCAGAAGTTTTCTTGTCTTTTAAGGCAGATTCTCGAAAATGAAATGGAATAAGTGACTAGTAATTTTGAAAGATAGGTAGTTCTCTATTTCATACACACAAAGCACATGTTTATGTTGCTAAACGTATAGTACGTAGCATTTAAATTTTTTTTGTCACGACCACCTGACCCAAGAAAAACATAGAACATGACTAAAAGTAAAGAAAAACAAACTATTTAAAATAAAACATTGGACATTAAAATTGAAATGATTTGCATAATTTTATGTTCATGCAACTTTTTCTTTTAAAACTTTCTTTTCTTTTAAACTTTTTTCCTTTATATATATATATATCAAATGAAACACTCTTTCTTTGTCTTGGATGCAATAAAGGCAAAAGCATTTATCTTAGAAGGCTGCATTATGCCTTCATATGAGGAGTGTGCCTGTGATATTATAAAATTCACCCTAAGGGTTTGTTTTCAACCTCAGTTGAAATTAATGTAGTGTTTATTTGCATATGATTTCACGCAATCAAAAAACAATTGTTTTGTGAGGTGAGTCTGAAAATGGAACCACTGTGGCCGAATACTAAATTGAAAACTAAATCGAAAAGCCTGTTTGGTTCTGTTGAAGGTTTTGTTTCTCTCTCTCTCTTAGAAGTGACACATTCTTTGTAGATCATTTCCTTGCATTTATATTGAATTCAGAATATAAGAGTCATTTTATTATATAAAGTGGAGACCAGGCCAAGTTGTCTCAGTTACTCCAGTAAATATTTCTCAAGGTTGGGTCTATATATATATATATATATATATATATATATATAATAAAGAAAAAGAAGAAAAAAATGCTATCATATTAGAACACAATTCAACCTTTCAATTAAAGAGTAGTCCACCTTAATTATCAATAATGTTGAGACTGATGTTTGTCAATTTGGTTTTATTTTGGTTAGCAAGAGCTAATAACAAAATAAGAGGATATTTGAAGAATAGAATTCTCTCAAATATTATAAAATGTCCCATGTGACAACTAGCCCCAGCCTCTCCACTCACAGAGACTCACATGCCATCCCCATGATCTGAAGGTCAATTATCACCGAAGTGGAGTTTAATTCTTTCGTCATATCCTGATGAAGATTGTGTTGAGGTGTCATGCGGCTCTTTTGCTTGGCTCGGCTTTTATGCACATGTAGCTTAGCAAAGCTGTCAGAATTGGTAACCAGGCCCCTGTGCTGAGGCTGAGGATTGTATATCCTCAGTGTACTCATCATCATGTCACAGGAGTGGCCCGGGCTGGACTTTGATTATGTAACACGGCTGCACATTTATTTATTGGTTTGCATGTCATGTGTGACATAAGCTGGTTTAAGGGCTCTGAGCTGTGTCAGTCTCAGTGCGGGGTATATTATTCAGCTGTGATCAGCATTTGAGTTTACAGGCACGTGTCTGCAGTGTGGCAGTCAAGACTGGCAAAGAGAGAGAGAGAGAGAGAGAAGACTATACTGCAAGATGGCTGCATTTGGGACACAACTGTCACAACTTTACTGTCAAAAATATAGTTGCAACATTTTGTTTTACCTAAATTTACAGTAAAAAATATATAATTCATTAACTGAAATAATGTTAATATAACAACATACTTTGACAACAATCACATACCACAGGTGGTAATGAGAAAGCCGTTGGTGTGCAGGCAATGCAGGTTTGAGATAGCCTGGTTAAAACCAGACAATTCTCAGTTGTAACTGAGTTATGGTCTGGCAAAGCATCATAGACAAATAATTTCCAGAGGGGCGTCACCAACAGACGTCGCGGATAGACCTAAAACCAATCAGGGGTGCGTTTTCCAAAAGCATCGTTAGCCAACTATGGTCGCAAGTTCCGTCGTTATTAGCATATAGTTCAACGATTCAGTGATTCCCGAAACCATCGTTCCAACGAACATTCGCAAACAGCATCGCAAAGTTGTGTGGTTTACACGACAGCTCTCGACCTGTGGTTAGAGGCATCGTTTCTATATTGCATGACATTTGAAGGTAATAAATCCTTATCTTGAGCAAAAAAAGCAAGCTGACATTACGTACAATTGGTGTCTTTTATTTAGAATACATACAAATGGAATTTACGTCTTTTAGTTTGTCAAAAGATTTAAAGTAACGTGTTTGAAGAGTGCGCATGTGCGAACGTGCATACTATGTAAGAACGAGCCAAATATTGAGTCTGGTAATAAAGCAAAACAACTGAGAACAATTAGAAATCCTCAGATGACATGTCTGTAATTTATATAAAACAAATCTAGAATTAATTTGATCTAGTTTCATTAAGAGTAGTTATTACTCCACCACGTGCGAAACCAACGTGGTTGAACGATACTTTGCGACAGTGGGTTTCGGGAAACAGTCGTGACTAGCTTGTTGATTTTTCCAACGATGCATCGTACTATGGTAGTGAAACAGCGAACTACGTCGTTGTACGGGAAACGCACCCCAGAGCGATGAAGGAGAGTATGCAGAGCGGCGGAGAAACATTTCGGTTTTTAACAAAAAGGAAAAATTCAAAACGCTTAAAACAGACGCGATAGCTGATTCGAACGAGTGATGTTTGACGGCGCCGTCCATCTTTGTAATGTAGGCTACAAAATCTGCTTCAAAATCCCAGCGCTGCCGTCATCGTGTAAAGCCCGCCCCAACGTTTCTGATTGGTGCCGCGATTTCGGATTGGAAATGGGCTGGAATGAGCTCTTTGCCAGACTATCTTTGAGAGCAAATCTAAATTTGCCGGAGGTTGTCTGGGTTTTCTCAGGCTAGGTTTGAGAGGTGGCGCCCCTCAAATCACGACTTGCCTCATGGCATGACGTCACATACATCAACAACATATGAAGCAGCCTTTATGGAAGACACTGTACAGGGGCAAAGAACTTATATTGTTCTTCTATACTCTTTGACAGGGGGAGGGGATCAGGCCGCAACTGCAGAGACGGCTCTGCATGAGTAGTATTTACGACAGTAACGTTAAATACAAGTACTCCACGAACGAAATGGTAACCTATGAGGTTCTATTTATGCATTTCTATAAACACCATCAATGTCGTACTATCAATGGTACGCATAAGAGCTCTGTAAGTTATTTACTTTCGTTATTATTGTAATACTATGTGCTTTGTGGTCATTTAACGACGTCTCTCGTCTTGTGGCGCTTTGAAAACTCGGTTGTGTGCGTTCATGGGTTTTGATGGAGGTGTGGCTTTGGAGACGCTCTGAAGGGAGGGTGGGATCTCATGCTTTCAAAGCTGGCTAGCTATTGTAGCCGCTCCGAAATTGCCTACCCTACCTTTAAAGGCCCCCTTGAAATCGAAAATGTACGTTTTTTTTAGCTTTTAGTATGAATATGTTTGGCTTAAGGTTATGAATAAGCTGGTGTGTTTCAAAACAGTGTCAAAATTTGTATTTAGGAGGTATAAGCATTGAAAACTTTTGAGTCTCTCAATTCCGCTAAAATGGATCACAGATTTTTAAGACATCACCGTGGACTTCAGATCACATCTTCTGTCCAATCAAAATGCTCTCTAGCATCTAAAGCGTCCCACCCCTATGCTATAAATACCACTTGGCCAAAGTGACCGTTGACACGTCACAGAGCAATATGGGTTGGAGATATGAGTTATGTTGCTCAAACGCTCAAGTTTTATTCCATTTTCCAATGGCAAGGGTTAGGGTTAGTTTATTTTTTAAAATTTATTTACACCTCTAATATTGAATCCAATGTATTATCAGCGCTTGGATTCGCTTCTGTGCTGTCAAGTACGACTCGCAGTCTGTGAGGTTAAACTAAACACTATTGGCTATTTGAAAGGGGGAGGTGCCAATCAATATGTTACTCCTTAGCTTCCTGTTTCAGTGGATACTGTCAACTCATCATACAAAGTTGCGCGTTCCAAGGCACTTCAGTTGGCCTTTAAGGGTCTATTTCTACCAGATATGAAGGTGTCATGTCTGTCATGTATGATTTTTTTTTTATTAATATCCCAAATGCCATTGTGCTTTATGAAATTTCATAACTTTTCACCAGGCCCAGAAAAAAAGAAAAAAATCTGCAGACTTTTGCTACATTTCTATACCAAGTTTGAGGAAAAAATCTATTGAATACATTATGTAAAAGTGCCAGTGAATCGAAAGAAGTGCTAGATATTTTCTTCCTTACGTCAAGTGCCTAGGAAATAAGATCTGACATTTATTGTTCCACATCATCTCCAGCTAAAAGAAAATCCCTATCTATTATTCAAGATCCTATAATTGTCCTGGCCGTAAACTGTTCTTCCTTTCGGCCTTCAGGAAAGTGATATCATGTCATCAAATCTAACTGAAGAACAACTTCTACCCAACTCCAGTTTGAATTCTCATAATAATGAGCAATTGGCAATTGCTATATAGTTTAGTCAGTTATTGCACACTGGCAGCATATTTCACCATACTCGACAACTGTTGGTAGCCCAAAGTATTATCAAATTAGCCAAATTATTTGATAAAAAGTGAAATTTTCACGTGATTCTTGTTATTTTTATATTGCACACTTTAATATGTGTCATTTGCTTTGTGAGAATTAGACTCATGCACTACTGATCACACCATCTGAACCTTTTTATTGACCTGTTTACTACTGTTATTTCATAATCCCTGCTGGCATATTGCTAAATATGCTTAAGCATGGCAAAAGCATTTGTTTATTTCTCTCTGAGCTGTGCCATCTGTTGCCTTTGCAGGACGACAGCATCTTAAAGGAATTTGATATCAGCGATCATGTGAAAGAGGGCTTTGAGAAAGCAGACCCGTCGCAGTTCGAGCTGCTCAAGGTGTTGGGTCAAGGCTCCTATGGAAAGGTGAGCTTTAAAAATGCTGCATCTGATTTATCCTCTGTGTGTTACTGTTATGTAGACTGCTACCAATAACTGAGATTATGTGTGCCATTTGTTTGGATGTAATTTTGTTAATGCAAGTAGTGTTTAGATTTGGGGTAATGGATGTAAAACCCCTTTCTGTGTACTTATAAACCCTTCAGTTGACCTGAGTGTACTTTGGGATGTGAAAAGGTTTAGAAAGAGAGGATCAGTTGTTGCAGGATTTACTTTGCATAGTTTAAAATTATTATCTCGTGTCCCAAAACTGAAATTTCCTGCCTGTTCTAAAACTTAAGCTTCATGTAAGCAGCATTAAAAATAAATCATAATGACACTCTCAATACAAAGGCGTTACAATAATATAGGCTGCATAATCAAGATACCTTTGGAGAAAATTTAAGTCAGCATCGCTTGTATTTTTTTTTAAGCAGAAAAGGCAAAGGTGGTGGACAACATGAGAAAATCTATTAGGAATATGCTTATAATTTATAAAATATACCCAATGTTTATGCATTTTGCTTAGTAGAATACTGCATTGTTGTTAGCTTAGCAACATGCTAATGCCAAATTCCATTGAAATAAATTATGAGTTGAGTCTATTTGCTTGCTATCTAGAACGTTTCAAATTGATCACTCATATTTTAATTAGGATGTTGCCTTAGCTTACTAGTTTTTGGATGAAAAAAGTCTTCATACAGTCAGTATTTATACTCCCATTTAATCCCAAACCTGTTTTTTCTTCTTCTATGAACACAAAATATGTCAAACATGTTCAAAATTGGAAAAATGACACAGCAAAGTATCATCCCAGCTAACAAAGTTAGGTTCTGAGAACGTTTTTCTAACGTTCCATTTTGGTTGTGGGAACGTTAATTTAAAATGTTCTAAAAACGTGGAAATGTCCAGTTTGCTTAACGTTGCTGGAACGGTGTCCTAATGTTTGAAGAACGTTGCTGGAACGTTAGCATAATGTTGTTAGAACGTTATCCTAAGGTTAGCATAATGTTGCTGGAACGTTATGAGAACGTTTATCAAACACAAATAACCTGATAAAGACGTTCCGATAACGTTGTTCTAAGAACGTTTTTTATCAACGTAATGAGAACGTTCACACAAATAACGTGATAAAGACGTTCCAAGAACGTTGTTCTAAGAACGTTTTCTCTCAACGTTACAAGAACGTTAATAATGTTATATGAACGTTCCGAAAACATTATTTTAATAACATTTTGTCCTAACATTTACACAACTTTTAAAGAACGCTAGTGAATGTTCTGGGAACGTTCCCTGTTAGCTGGGATATGACACTATCCTAACACTATATAGGGGAGAGCGGGGCACAACCTAACACATTTTGGTTTTGGCTCAATTAATTAAAAAATAATTAGACAGACAGAGGGGTTAGTTAACACTTGTGTGTAACACACATAATTCAGTACAATTTTATTTGTATAATTTGATATTGTTTGTGCATCTGTATTGTAGATATCCATACATCCATCCCTCATTCAATCCTCCTTCTATTTTGGATAAAAATCATAGATAGAGACATAGAAAAAAGCTGCACAGTTTTGCAATAAATAATAATAAATAAAATCATAAAATACTGTAATTACAACTGAATTAGATTTGTGTGTCGCAGTTGCATGTAAAATTATTATTATTATTAATAATAACATTAATAATAATACAAATGAGCTTAAAATACAAATTTTAAGGGTTTATTGCATTAAAAACATGTCATATTTTTAATAGATAAACAAGTTATCATTCATAGTAGACTAAATTTTAAACATTTTAAATTCCAACATTGTTTGTGAAAGTCCAACAAAGTTAAATGTATACTGAAACCTGAAAAGTTGTGTGGTTCCGTTTTCATTTGATTATCTTTGTACACTTGGCGGCTTGTTTGTAACACTGTGTTACAACTAACCCCACTGTGTATTACATATTTTAAGCCTAGCTAACAGTCGCTAGGAATTGCTGACATGTTTCAAAACGGTGCTATGTTTGAGCCAACAAGACAGTAATTGAAGAAATATAAAGTTAGATTTGGAAACGTATACACCCAACTCAGAAACCGAAAAAAACTAAAAACTATGATGAAAAAATTTACTTTCATGGTATCAAAACTACGGAGCTCCTCTAGTCCCACTTTGGAAAAAAAAAATAATTATAACTATCTTGTGGCCTCAAGATAGTAACTTGTGGCCTCAAGATAGTAACTCGTGGCCTCAAGATACTAACTCGTGGCCACAAGATAGTAACTCGTGGCCTCAAGATACTAACTCGTGGCCTCAAGATAGTAACTCGTGGCCTCAAGATACTAACTCGTGGCCTCAAGATACTAACTCGTGGCCACAAGATAGTAACTCGTGGCCACAAGATACTAACTCGTGACCACAAGATAGTAACTCGTGGCCTCAAGATAGTAACTCGTGGCCACAAGATAGTAACTCGTGGCCACAAGATACTAACTCGTGGCCACAAGATAGTAACTCGTGGCCACAAGATACTAACTCGTGACCACAAGATAGTAACTCGTGGCCTCAAGATAGTAACTCGTGGCCACAAGATAGTAACTCGTGGCCACAAGATACTAACTCGTGGCCACAAGATAGTAACTCGTGGCCTCAAGATAGTAACTCGTGGCCACAAGATAGTAACTCGTGGCCTCAAGATAGTAACTCGTGGCCTCAAGATAGTAACTCATGGCCACAAGATAGTAACTCGTGGCCACAAGATAGTTATTTTGTGGCCTCAAGATAGTAACTCGTGGCCACAAGATACTAACTCGTGGCCACAAGATAGTAACTCGTGGCCTCAAGATAGTAACTCGTGGCCACAAGATACTAACTCGTGGCCTCAAGATACTAACTCGTGGCCTCAAGATACTAACTCGTGGCCACAAGATAGAGTTAGTATCTTGAGGCCACGAGTTACTATCTCAAGGCCACGAGTTAGTATCTCAAGGCCACGAGTTACTATCTCAAGGCCACGAGTTACTATCTCAAGGCCACGAGTTAGTATCTTGTGGCCACGAGTTACTATCTTGAGGCCACAAAATAACTATCTTGTGGCCACGAGTTACTATCTTGTGGCCATGAGTTACTATCTTGAGGCCACGAGTTACTATCTTGAGGCCACGAGTTACTATCTTGTGGCCACGAGTTACTATCTTGAGGCCACGAGTTACTATCTTGTGGCCACGAGTTACTATCTTGAGGCCACAAGATAGTTATAATTATTTTTTTTACCAAAGCTCCGTACAAAACACTCTTTGTCCAGTATCTTCACGAAATATTAGCAAAACTTTCAGCAAATTCGCAGGAGACCGTCTTCTGGCAGCAAGAGAAAAATAGCGTAAACACAACCTGCGTGTCCCTGAGAAACTACGTAAAAGGTCCGTGTTACATTTAGCCCCGCGTTAGGTTGTGCCCCACGCTCCCCTACTAACCAGACAAGACTTGACACCGCAAACGTGATAAAAGCTGTCTTTTCTGATTTTGTTAATCATAGTTTTGCCTTGATGGCGATATGCAACAAATCTGTTTTAGAAACGGTTTCTATTTCTGTGACGTTGCAGCTGGAAAATCAATGTACAAATTATGACATGATAATCTCAGGTACTGATTATGTGCTTTATTTAATGTTTAATGTGAGTTTGAATGCCATTTTGCATGATCTTTATAGCCGTACTGAAAGCGATAATTGATCATTCACATCAGAACAAAGAGGTTCAAACTGTGAACTCAATGTGATCAAACAATATTTAATGACAAAGCTTGTATCAGTATGTTTTTTTATAATAATTTGAATGAATTTGATTATTTTGTTGAGAGCGCAGAGCTCTTGCAGAGAGACTTCACCCACACACTGTAAAAATTTTTTTCAAGATTTGTTATCACAACATTTTTTTCTTTTGTCAAATCATCTTAAATAATTTATTTAGTTGAGATAACTTATTATTTTGAGTTTCTGATGATTAAATTAATCTCCTTCATTGTATAAACTAATTTTTCCAGTTCAATCAACTTAAAATTTTAAGGCAACCAGTTTACTTACTTTTTTAAGTTAAACCAACAATATTTTTTTTACAGTTTTTTATATTTTTTTACTCTTCTGATTACCTGTGATTTTTGATTGATTTTCACGAGTTCACACTTACATAATCAGATAAAGTGAAGGTTATGCATGTATGACGTGCTGTCCGAGGGAAGGGCTCGGAAATCGGAATTTGGCCCAAACCCAGAGTACATAAAATACAATAATAATGTGCCGGTACTCCCTCTCCCCTCACAAATCTTTGTTTCACAAAGATAACAAAATTTAATGTTCAGATAACATAATATTTTGAGTTTCTATTGAATAAACGGTTTGTATAAACTCAATATTTTTGTTTAAATGAACTTAAAATTTTAATTTAATTTAAACCAACAATTTTTTACAGTGTGATTGTCTCTTTTATCATTTCTTTGCATGATGTTAATCTAATACCACATAAACATTAATAGATAATAGATACATTTTCAAATGAAAATAACAATTTCTAAAGAGTCTACATTCTGTTGCCACTCGAGGAAACATGAACAAGTGCGCACAAAGCTGTCACATGGCTGAAGACAACTTCAGATGTACTGTCATGTTAGATATTTTAATATTTCCCTCTTTTTGGATCTTCACAGCCCCTGGACACAGACTTAGATGTGAATATTGTGGGGTGTTGACCATACTTTTCATTTACAGGTGTTCTTGGTGAGAAAAATCAAAGGTTCAGATACAGGACAACTCTATGCCATGAAGGTCTTAAAAAAGGCAACACTAAAAGGTAAAAATATACTTCAGCCCTTATATTATGTGATCTGAATAATGATTTGTACTCTATAATTTGTGTGCCTTACATTTGTTGATCTCTCTCTGGTATGTGGTGATGTAAAACCTGCAGTTATTATTTCAGCTCAGCATGACATCTAACCTGTGTGAGTCATAGCTAAGCTGCTAGGAGGCTTGAAGTGCTCTCTGGTTGATTTTTTGAAGGGTGTCTGAATCATCAGTTGTCTCAATCATTGACAGTTTTTCATTATGGGTATACTTAAGATCCATGGCAGCATTCCCTGGAAGAATAAATAATTAAATGAATCTAAGCAGATAAACCTGAAATCTTAAGCAGCTAACTGACTTTCCTCATCATTTATTCATTTTCGTGATTCACCCCTTTGTTTTTACACAACAAACACAAATGTAAGCAGTTATCGTAGTGATTCACAATGCTCAGTTTGTGATAACCTATTTCACAACCCGTTCATAACCCACATAACTTATTCACTCAATGTAACCATGGTTACTTAATACTTACTAAAGTCTTCGCTCTCAGCGGATGATGTTGTGCAAGTTCTTCATGTACTTGTGAATGAAAATAACAATATTAGTGACTGTGGCACCTCACTGTCAGACCACAACAATGCTGCAGCTGTTACGTAAGACAAACCATTCAGAGTGAAAGATCCTGTGTGAATACAACATCCATCATGCTGCTTTTGTTTTGAGACTTATCAAAGATTTGTAGTTAAGTCTTGCAGGCTTAAAGGTGAAGGATGTATTTTTAGATGTTAAAATGTGATGAGGCAACTACTTCATTCATGTTACTTCATTCATTCATTGACTTTATATAGCTAACAAAGCTGTTTGTTTGAGTGTCCAGCCTGACAAAGTGGCAATGGCTCAACAACTAGCAGTCGAACTACATGTTTGGCACAACAATAACAGATGTGTTTGAAACCTGTCAATCATTTTGTAATTATGTTGCTTTGGTGATGCTTGTGGAACAAAAACTGCACACTTCACTGTTCAGATTACTACTGTATACATCTCTGACTTATTGTTTTTAACGAGAAAAAAATATTTCTTACGCTGCCAACCAAAGTCCATTTTAAGTCCCTTTTGAATTGTATCTGGCACAGAACATTGACATCACATTTTCATTTAGCATTTAGCAGACACTTTTATTTGAAGGGATTTACGAATGAGGAGAACTATAGAAACAATCAAATCAACAAAATGGCAACTATATGTAAGTGATGTGATTTTTCCCAGTTAGTCTATCACAGTATACGTAGGATTTTTGTTAAAAAAAATAGATAGAAATAGAATGGAATAGCTTGAAAAAAGCCCAGTTAAAGGCCTGTGAAAGTGATTTTGTGCCTCTTTGGGATGGTATCAGAAGGTGTCGTTCACTTGCAGAACACAAGCTTCTGGAGGGCAGAGCCAGTGGTTATTAGGCGAACATCAGTGCATGCGTTCTCTTCAGCTTGTTAAAGACCGCTCTGGCTGCTGCATTCTGGATCAGTTGCAGATGTTTGAAAGAGGATGCTGGAAGGCCTGCTAAGAAACGATTCCAATGGTCCAGTCTGGATAGAACAAGAGCTTCGACAAGGAGTTATGTAGTATCACTGATAGGAAGGGTCTGATATTTCCTAATGTTGTATTAGGCAAAGCTGCAAGACTGGGCAGTTCTAGCAATGTTGTCTGTGAAGCTTCATGTAATGGGTTTCCATGGCCCAACAGCTGCATGTAAGCCTCACACCACCAATTACAATGCCAAGTGTCGGATGGAGTGGTGTAAAACATGGCGCCACTGAACTCTAGAGCAGTGGAAATGTGTTATGTAGAGTAACAAATCACACTCGTCTGTTTGGCAGTCTGATGGGCGAGTCTGGGTATGACCATTGCAAGAAAACCGTTACCTTCCTGACTGTATGGTGCCAACTGTAATGTTTAGTGAAGGAGGGATAATGGTACTGGGGCTGTTTTTTCAAGGTTGGTCTAAGCCCTTTACTTCCAAATCTTAATGCTTCAGCATCAGTGGTGGAATTTAACGAAGTACAAATACTTTGTTACTTTACTCAAGTACAATTTTCACGTATCTTTAGATTAAATAGTGCATACTTTTTACAAACCCAATTCCATAAAAGTTGGGACACTGTACAAATTGTGAATAAAAACAGAATGCAATGATGTGGAAGTTTCAAATTTCAATATTATATTTAGAATACAACATAGATGACATATCAAATGTTTAAACTGAGAAAATGCATAATTTTAAGGGAAAAATAAGTTGATTTTAAATTTCATGGCATCAACACATCTCAAAAAAGTTGGGACAAGGCCATTTTTACCACTGTGTGGCATCCCCTCTTCTTTTAATAACAGTCTGCAAACGTCTGGGGACTGAGGAGACAAGTTGCTCAAGTTTAGGAATAGGAATGTTGTCCCATTCTTGTCTAATAAAGGCTTCTAGCTGCTCAACTGTCTTAGGTCTTCTTTGTTGCATCTTCCTCTTTATGATGCGCCAAATGTTTTCTATGGGTGAAAGATCTGGACTGCAGGCTGGCCATTTCAGTACCCGGATCCTTCTTCTACGCAGCCATGATGTTGTAATTGATGCAGTATGTGGTTTGGCATTGTCTTGTTGGAAAATACAAGGTCTTCCCGGAAAGAGACGATGTCTGGATGGGAGCATATGTTGTTCTAGAACTTGGATATACCTTTCAGCATTGATGGTGCCTTTCCAGATGTGTAAGCTGCCCATGCCACACGCACTCATGCAACCCCATACCATCAGAGATGCAGGCTTCTGAACTGAGCGCTGATAACAACTTGGGTTGTCCTTGTCCTCTTTAGTCCGGATGACATGGCGTCCCAGTTTTCCAAAAAGAACTTCAAATTTTGATTCGTCTGACCACAGAACAGTTTTCCACTTTGCTAGAGTCCACTTTAAATGAGCCTTGGCCCAGAGAAAATGCCTGCGCTTCTGGTTCCCGTTTAGATATGGCTTCTTTTTTGACCTATAGAGCTTTAGCCGGCAACGGTGAATGGCACGGTGGATTGTGTTCACTGACAATGTTTTCTGGAAGTATTCTTGAGCCCATGTTGTGATTTCCATTACAGTAGCATTCCTGTGTGTGATGCAGTGCCGTCTAAGGGCCCGAAGATCACGGGCATTCAGTATGGTTTTCTGGCCTTGACCCTTATGCACAGAGATTGTTCCAGATTCTCTGAATCTTTGGATGATATTATGCACTGTTGATGATGATAACTTCAAACTCTTTGCAATTTTTCTCTGAGAAACTCCTTTCTGATATTGCTCCACTATTTTTTGCCTCAGCATTGGGGGAATTGGTGATCTTCTGCCCATCTTGACTTCTGAGAGACGCTGCCACTCTGAGAGGCTCTTTTTATACCCAATCATGTTGCCAATTGACCTAATAAGTTGCAAATTGGTCCTCCAGCTATTCCTTATATGTACATTTAACTTTTCTGGCCTCTTATTGCTACCTGTCCCAACTTTTATGGAATTTGTAGCTCTCATGAAATCCAAAAGGAGCCAATATTTGGCATGGCAATTCAAAATGTCTCACTTTCAACATTTGATATGTCATCTATGTTGTATTCTAAATATAATATTGAAATTTGAAACTTCCACATCATTGCATTCTGTTTTTATTCACAATTTGTACAGTGTCCCAACTTTTATGGAATTAGGTTTGTACTTTTACTTCGTTACATTTTGCAGCAATTGTTATACTTTCTACTCCACTACATTTCTAACTTTTGTTACATTTTCATTACATTTTCTGATCAGTTTTTCCCCTGCCAAAACGTAATCTGACTGTCCATCCGTTGCACGTTTGTCTCACCAGTGATGTTTGGTTGCCATAGAGATATCATGTCAAGAGTGTTTATAATTTATACGCGAAAATTTGTTTTTACGTGCATCGGAAACGCACTGTGTGTAATATACGTTTGGTTAGGATTATGGCAAGCCAAGAGGTTCAGAATTACACCATAAATGAATCGCCTTTACTGCCAAACATAGTTATTAACATATAGTAAGGATAAGCATGATGTGTATTTTGCCTAATTGTAAGCTTGTTTCAGAAATGGTGACAACTATTTTTTTTTTCCATAAATATTGAACATCATTATTGGAGTATTATTAGGTTTAATGAGTTAGAATTAAATGTTTTATTAATCATTAGAAAATAGACATTTAGAGAATAAATTGTTATGCAAGTACATTTAAAATCAGGTACTTTTTACTTTTTAATTAAGTATGGTTGTCATTGTGTTACTTCTACTTTTACTGAAGTAAATATTTATCTGGTTATTTGTACTTTTACTTAAGTACTGAGATTCAGTACTTCCTCCATCACTGTTCAGCATACCAAGACATTTTGCACAATGCTATGCTCCCAACAATTTGGCGAAGGTACTTTTCTATTCCAGCATTAATGTGCCCAAGTCTATAAAGACATGGTTGGATGAGTTTGGTGTGGAAGAACTTGAGAGTTGCAACAAGGTGACCAATCATTATTAATTTTAGTTTTTCCACTTTGACTTGCACATTCAAATTTTATATCAAATATAAAAGTGAATATCAAAATTTGATCATATTCCGGTTACAGTATTTATGGTCAAATGAACCTGTAAACCCAATTTCCAATACTTGGTTAAGCCAGATCTGGTTATGTCCTAAGTAAATTATATTCACAATGGTCACGGCACAAAAGCACCTTTTTTGAAAAGCAGATTCTTCAGATTCTTTTCATCCACTTTAAAAAAAGAAATATCAATGGGAATATAAATCACTATGTATTTGTAATGAATTTTGCAATTCATTGTGCAGTTTTATGCTTTTGCCAAGGGAATTAATGAGTTGAAACATTCACGTCTTGTTGTCTCTATGTATTTTAAGTGCGGGACAGAGTGAGATCGAAAATGGAACGAGACATTCTCGCAGAAGTGAATCATCCCTTCATTGTCAAACTCCACTATGGTGAGTTGTTCTCTCAGGAGACTGTAAACACAAACATTAACATCAGTTTCTAGACCACCAATTTCAATGGCAAACAGAAAATTCCTAGTTTTTTTTACTTTTGATAGGTGAAAAACACTGCTTATTTGTAACCTTTGTTGCTTTTCCCCCACAGCATTTCAGACAGAAGGAAAGTTGTACCTTATATTGGACTTTCTCAGAGGGGGAGATCTATTCACACGCCTCTCCAAAGAGGTCAGTTTTTATGAAACTAAATAACAGGCATAAATGGTGTTCTTGTTTAGTTGTAAAAATGAGCTTGTCCCAAACCCAAAATACTTCCTTTTCTCTGTGGAACAAACAAGGAGATGTTTTTGAGAATGTTCATGCAAGGGGGAAAATGCCGTCAATGTTCTCATGTTCCTCTAAACCAAATCCAAACGAGATTTAAGAGCACACAGTTTGAATGGACTTCTTTTATTATACTTTTTTTGAGGATTGACAACATTCGCATTCACATTCTATGCAAAAGTACACCTAAAAGGAGAGATTCTTCTAAATTTCTCATATGGGTTATGGGCGAAAGATATATAAAAAAAGATATAATACCAATATAGTTGTGTCCACTGATTGTACACTTGTGGTCTTCAGCTGAGTTGCAATTGCTTACTGATTGATCATTTAGTAATTGCCAAGACATCGACCTGGAATAACAGAGGTACATCCAGACAGAATTGTAAATGGAGATGTCATTTTGGTCCAAATGCCTTGGTAATTAAAGGCATGTCTGGCATCTATTCTCTGGCGGATGGTGTAATTGGTCCCTCTTAACACTCACTACTGTAATTCTCCTTAATGGAGTGTTTGGTTTTCTTGATCACATCACTTTCTAATCTCACAGGCTCAATGAAAGCTTCCCTCGAGGATCTGTTCCCTTCGTACACGGGGAGCAAATCTCATTATTGATCTATTGACTGCAACTTTTGCTGAAGCCTGTAGTTTCTGAATCACACATTAGAGCATCAGAGGTGATCAGTGGAAAAACAATGGATTATACACTACTTTCTATGTGTTGGTAAGGATTAAGTGGACATAATGTGTTTTTTATTGATTAGCAGAACAGTTTGTGTCTGCCGTTTGTGTTGATTTTGTAAAAAATCCTCTGGGTGCTGAGGATATTCTCAGCCACTGAAACCAAGGTCATTCTTATAATAAAGGCAGGTTCACACCAAAAACAATAGCTATAAAGATTACTATAGCGACAACTATATTAGCGTTAGCACTAATGCACGATAATGTTCTGTTTATTATAAGCGCCCTGCAGTTTTGTCGTCTGCCACTTTAAATGCTTGATTCTGATTGGCTGTCTGTTTTTATCGTCCATCAGCTGCAAGAAAATCATTCTGAAAGTGATTCCAACAATATCATTTCTCTGTGCCATTATCATTACAGTTGTGGTTCAGACTCTGCTATTCTTATATATTTAAAATGATTTTTATATCTTTATCGTCATCTTTATAGTTATCATTCTTGGTGTGAACAGGACTTATTGCTGTTAATATCAATAAACTGAGCTCTTCTGGATATTTCCTGTTATCCAGTACCTTTCCCTTGGCCTATGTGCTTGTTGTATTTGGAGTATTTATATTAAACAAATAAAAAATAAATTTTAGATAAATTTACCCCTATGTGGGTAAGATTTTGATATTGTGATAAAAGAAAAATAACATTTTTGCTATCCATAAATGATAATATTTTATAATAACTGCATGCTTTTAATAATTAGTTAAGCAATAATAAACAGTTAGTTCATCCTTTATAAAGCATTAACATTAATAAGCGTTTTATAATACAGCTATAAATGCTTTATTCTTGATTTATAAGGATATCTATAATTTGTTTAATAATGATCAATTTATCATTTCTAAATTAAGTATTTACAAACCAGTTATTTGGGAGTTGTCAGTGATTTATAAGATCACTTAGAAAGTGTAAGTAAATGATTATGATTAATGAACTATTTAAATGTACATTCATACATCTTGTTATATAGTAATAGTCACTTGTGTGTTAATAAGTGCTTTATTAACATTTATTTCTACTCTAATTAATGGTAAATTCAGGTAGTTATTCAGTTATTTAAAGCATTTAGTAGTGGTCAGTTAACTATTTTTGTGACCTCATCTAAAATGAGGACTATTAATGCCTTATAAAAGCATTAACAAAGGAGATTGAAAGGCTTATTTATCTGCTAAACAGAAAAAGGAAACGAATAACACAGAACATAGAAATATTTAAGATGTATTAATTTTAAATTTAAATACATTTAAATAGTGTATTAAAAATGTACTACACTTTTTAAGTGATCTTATGAACCCATGACAACTCCTAAATTACTGGTTTGTAAATAATGCTATACGTCATTTAGAAATGATAAATTGAGCATTAATAAATTATGAAAATACAATTACACACATTATAGATATGCTTATAAATCAAGAATAAATATTTATAGCTGTATTTAAAAACTGCTTAAAGGATTAGTTCACTTTTGAAAAAACTTTTGCTGATAATTTACTCACCCCCATGTCATCCAAGATGTCCATGTCTTTCTTTCCTAAGTCGAAAAGAAATTTAGGTTTTTGATGAAAACATTCCAGGATTTTTCTCCATATAATGGACTTCAATGGGAACCGGATGGTTCAAGGTCCAAAAGATAGTGTTAATAACAGTTTCAGATGCAGCTTCAATTGTCTTTAAACGACACCAGACGATGAATAAGGGTCTTATCATGCGAAACGATCGGTTATTTCAAAACTTATTCCAAAAATGTAACTTTTCTAAGGACAAATGCTAGCCTTGCTATATTCTCTGAGGCGCGTTTGTAACGTCACGTAATACGTAATTACGTTCAAAAGGTCACGGGCGACGTAGCCGGAAGTACAGAATCAAAATCGTCCGACATCGTTGTTTTTTCTTTTAATTCCTTTTTTGTAAACGGTGTTTGAGCTAGTTTGCACGTTCAACCTATGCGTTCAACTTGTAAACACTGACTCTGTACTTTCGGCTACGTCGCCCGTGACCTTTTGAACGTAATTACGTAATACGTGACGTTGCAAACGCGCCTCACAGAATAGAGCAAGGCTAGCATTTGTCCTTAGAAAAGTTACATTTTTGGAATAAGTTTTGAAATAACCGATCGTTTCGCATGATAAGACCCTTATTCATCGTCTGGTGTCGTTTAAAGACAATTGAAGCTGCATCTGAAACTGTTATTAACACTATCTTTTGGACCTTGAACCATCCGGTTCCCATTGAAGTCCATTATATGGAGAAAAATCCTGGAATGTTTTCATCAAAAACCTAAATTTCTTTTCGACTTAGGAAAGAAAGACATGGACATCTTGGATGACATGGGGGTGAGTAAATTATCAGCAAAAGTTTTTTCAAAAGTGAACTAATCCTTTAAGCAGTTTTTAAATACAGCTATAAATATTTATTCTTGATTTATAAGCATATCTATAATGTGTGTAATTGTATTTTCATAATTTATTAATGCTCAATTTATCATTTCTAAATGACGTATAGCATTATTTACAAACCAGTAATTTAGGAGTTGTCATGGGTTCATAAGATCACTTAAAAAGTGTAGTACATTTTTAATACACTATTTAAATGTATTTAAATTTAAAATTAATACATCTTAAATATTTCTATGTTCTGTGTTATTCGTTTCCTTTTTCTGTTTAGCAGATAAATAAGCCTTTCAATCTCCTTTGTTAATGCTTTTATAAGGCATTAATAGTCCTCATTTTAGATGAGGTCACAAAAATAGTTAACTGACCACTACTAAATGCTTTAAATAACTGAATAACTACCTGAATTTACCATTAATTAGAGTAGAAATAAATGTTAATAAAGCACTTATTAACACACAAGTGACTATTACTATATAACAAGATGTATGAATGTACATTTAAATAGTTCATTAATCATAATCATTTACTTACACTTTCTAAGTGATCTTATAAATCACTGACAACTCCCAAATAACTGGTTTGTAAATACTTAATTTAGAAATGATAAATTGATCATTATTAAACAAATTATAGATATCCTTATAAATCAAGAATAAAGCATTTATAGCTGTATTATAAAACGCTTATTAATGTTAATGCTTTATAAAGGATGAACTAACTGTTTATTATTGCTTAACTAATTATTAAAAGCATGCAGTTATTATAAAATATTATCATTTATGGATAGCAAAAATGTTATTTTTCTTTTATCACAATATCAAAATCTTACCCACATAGGGGTAAATTTATCTAAAATTTATTTTTTATTTGTTTAATATAAATACTCCAAATACAACAAGCACATAGGCCAAGGGAAAGGTACTGGATAACAGGAAATATCCAGAAGAGCTCAGTTTATTGATATTAACAGCAATAAGTCCTGTTCACACCAAGAATGATAACTATAAAGATGACGATAAAGATATAAAAATCATTTTAAATATATAAGAATAGCAGAGTCTGAACCACAACTGTAATGATAATGGCACAGAGAAATGATATTGTTGGAATCACTTTCAGAATGATTTTCTTGCAGCTGATGGACGATAAAAACAGACAGCCAATCAGAATCAAGCATTTAAAGTGGCAGACGACAAAACTGCAGGGCGCTTATAATAAACAGAACATTATCGTGCATTAGTGCTAACGCTAATATAGTTGTCGCTATAGTAATCTTTATAGCTATTGTTTTTGGTGTGAACCTGCCTTTATTATAAGAATGACCTTGGTTTCAGTGGCTGAGAATATCCTCAGCACCCAGAGGATTTTTTACAAAATCAACACAAACGGCAGACACAAACTGTTCTGCTAATCAATAAAAAACACATTATGTCCACTTAATCCTTACCAACACATAGAAAGTAGTGTATAATCCATTGTTTTTCCACTGATCACCTCTGATGCTCTAATGTGTGATTCAGAAACTACAGGCTTCAGCAAAAGTTGCAGTCAATAGATCAATAATGAGATTTGCTCCCCGTGTACGAAGGGAACAGATCCTCGAGGGAAGCTTTCATTGAGCCTGTGAGATTAGAAAGTGATGTGATCAAGAAAACCAAACACTCCATTAAGGAGAATTACAGTAGTGAGTGTTAAGAGGGACCAATTACACCATCCGCCAGAGAATAGATGCCAGACATGCCTTTAATTACCAAGGCATTTGGACCAAAATGACAT